ACATATATGTAAAATTTAAGAGAATCTCATAAATTTGGATAAATACAACATATGTATTTATTTAAACTAATAAATATAATTGATTTTTTTTAATAAAGAAAAACATATCAACTTAGATTATAAAAATATAGTCATACATAAGAAAAGTAAAAAAAAATGATTACGGAACAATTGTAGATATGTATATATATTTTCAATTACAATTACATGTAAGATACAATAATAAATAAGTTTTCATAAGAACAAATATTGTCAAAACAAACAAAAACTATAGTAAAAAAATATTTTTGGAAAAAGAGGATGATAAATTATCTAAAAACCCTAATAGATTTAGTGTCTGGACACGGTAAATTACTATTTTCATGTTCGTAGGATATGTAATATTCTTGTACAAATGGTATTCTATTATCTCAAAGTCTATAAATCACTTCAAGACTCCTTACATGTCCAAAATAATCTTTATTATTTACCTAAAAAATAATTAATCATAATATTTTAAAATAATTTTGTAAATTAAAATAAAAAATTTGGATATAAAGTACCATATAATGAACAATTTAAGAATTAAATTTACGACCGTAACATATAAGAAATAAATAGACTTAACTAATTCAAACTAAACTAAGTAAGGAGACCAATTGGAATAAATTGATTAACGGGTTAGAAAACCAAATAATTGATTTTTTGGATATTATATGGTATCCAATAACAAGCCGATAATTTTTTAATATTTTTGATATACTGTATATTATAATAAATTAAAAAGATAGCCTAAAATCTTTAATCTAACCAGCTCCTTGTCACTCGTGTCTTTACCTCTCGTAGTAGTTGAATACGTGCTTGGGAAAAGAAATCACGAACAGGGAAAGAGTTGGAAAGTAGGGAGGAAAAGAAGAAAGCTTTTTAGGGTTTTAGGGATTGATAGAGCAAAGACAATTCGAATAAATAAATTGAAGTTATTCGATCGGTTTAATTTCAATTAGTTTGATCGAACTTCACTTAATGGTTCACTCGATTTTTTTAGCTCTTAAAAATTTGAAGCAAAACAATCCAATCGACAAATTGTTAACCTATAATTAATAATATGTTGTGAATAATGATGCAATATATATCTGGAAGAAATTGCATATCCCGAACCGGATAAAGCGAATCCTTGCCCTAATCTTTCCCGGGCTTCTGGACGTTCTTGCCCCGAGCACGGCCATTTCCTTTGTTCGTCTTCACATTTTCTTGGCAAAAACCCAGGGAAGGAATTACACCACCTGCTCGAAGCGCAGAACTGTGGCTCAACTCAGTATTCACTGTAATATTACCAAAAATCAAAGGGAGTGAGAATGAGTGAAATAACCACCACGGCATCTGCTGAAACGGAGAGCTCAAAACCTTGAGCGAAATCACAAGCGCGAGGCCGATTTCGAGAGAATTGATTCGGCTGCAAAGAAGTCAAAGACATTCCAAGAGTGTGGCGCAGGGAACAGGGAGGAGGAGAGTGAGAAGAAGAAGTTGACTGGTTCGGATGCCACGGGCGGCACGAAGGAGGGGAAGTCGGAAATTTCGGTCAAAGCGAACGGCAGGAATGGTGATGATGCCGGCCGTAAGGTAGTCACTGGAAGCAGTGGAAATGAAGGTAAGGGCCTCGTCATCGAAGCCGATGCCGCAGAAGATAAGGGTTCCAGGCATACCATGGAGGATGCTTGGGTTCTTTTGCAGGATGGCGACATGGATTGTCCTGGAAAACTCAGGTGTGTGTCATCCTTATGTTCATATCTGCATATTCAGATTCATGTGTATGCCTTCGTAGTAGTAAACTTAGGTGCTGCTTTGTTTTGAAGGTTCTGGGTTTTTTTCGTAGAAACAGTGTATTCGTGGCTGCCGAAGCTTTGCTTTCTGTATTCTTCAACATGTCGTAATGGTTGTAGTAAGGTGAATTTTAACCGCAGACTTATAGAAAATCCTCGTGTCTGGTGCATTATCAGTTTCACCTCTGTATAAATTCGTATAAATCTAAC